GATGGATTTCAGTTTTAAGCTACTGTAACATTGAAAGTGCTGCTATTACTACAATTGACAGGGAATGCTATAAAGGGTGTCTGAATTTGCTTATCTATGCAGACAGGAAGATCAATCCAATAGATTGAGCACTAATTTGCAACTCAAATGAAATTCTCATTATGGAATCATAGAATAGCCCAGGTCAGAAGAAACCTTGAAAAGACATCTGGTCCAACCTTTCATGGGACAAGGAGCTGAGATGAGATGGTCTAAGCACCCTGTTCAATTGCATTCTGAAAACTTCCAGTGATGGAGACTCTACTATGTTCCTGGGGAAGTTGTTCCAGGGAATGATTGTTCTCATTGCAAATAATTTCTTTCTCACATAGAGATCAAGTCTCTTTCCTGGTAGAACTCCCACCTATTGCATCTTGTCTTGTTGTGTGGCACCTTGTGAAGAGAAAGACTCCATTCTCATGTTCCACTCTGTGGCCTCCATCTACTCTGTTTCACCAAAAACTTCCAGCATTACCATAGGGAAGTTGATTTCTGTGCTAGTGTCTCATATATAAATTGACAAAAGGCAACAGCATTTCCCTAACTTAGAAAGGTCCTATGAAATATTCACACAGTACACCAACAAAGGTCATATAAAGAACCCAAGTTAATAGTTGTAAAAATAAATATATACACAGATACCCACTATTTACAGGTGGTATTTTGTTCTGCACATTTATCCGTCCTGTTCAGGCAAGACCGTGTTACATCTGAGTATATCTGTCAGCATGGGAACTGTCTGGACTGTCACACAGGACCTGATTTGATTAGACTTTAACCATGCATTAAGTCACCTGTGCAGCCTGTGTTAAATTCTTAAGTCTGATCTTCAGATGTCACTGTGCCTTCCCTTAAGTGTAGGGACAACTAATGACTATTAACTGGATTTTATAAATCCACAATAAAGATCCCACTGAAGTTTAAATAAAACCCACGGATACCACAATTAGGTAAGAATGTATTAGTTTTGATTTCTGTAACATCACATGCTCAGTTTAAATAAAGGCAAAAGGAAGAAAACACACGTAAAGTTGGTTCTGATCAATTCAGTGGCAAGGTATTTAATCATAGTACCCCTGTGTACCACAGTATTTATCTTAATTTTTGTCTTGAGAACTCCAGTTTTCCTTTCATAGTCTAGCCTACTAACTCTACTTGGTTTTTGAGAGGAACACAGTTCCTATTTTTCTAAGTCACTAATAACAAGAAAGAAATCTACAGATTTAGATTGTAACTAAGATGAAGTCATTTTTCATAAAAAAGATCAAAGAAAGAGTCCTTGACATTGGACCTGTCAGCTTCAGCTTATTCACCAGTATAAGTTCTACCTGAACTGAGATTTGAGGGAAGGAAATAGGGGTGTATGTTTACATCAGTCGTTCACACAGTCCACTGCTGTGACCAACATGACCCAATAGTTTGCCTTTTGTAGCCAACAATATAGGTTGAGGTTTTTTGTAAATAACATAAGAGAAACCTGTCAGTCAATTGCTTTGAGGGGGTACCTGAACCAAAACCCCCACTGCTAACATTGTATTTTACTCATACTTAGACATACAGTCATAGAATCATAGAATATTTAGGGTTGGAAAGGACCTTAAGATCATCTAGTTCCACCCCCCCTGCCATGGGCAGGGACACCTCACACTAAACCATGTTTCCCAAGGCTCTCCCCAACCTGACCTTGAACACCGCCAGGGATGGAGCATTTCCAACTTCCTTGGGCAACCCATTCCAGTGCCTCACCACCCTCACAGTAAAGAACTTCTTCCTTACATCCAATCTAAACTTCCCCTGTTTAAGTTACCCCTTGTCTTATCACTACAGTCCCTAATAAAAAGTCCCTCCCCAGCATCCCTATAGGCCCCCTTCAGACGCTGGAAGGCTGCTATGAGGTCCCCACGCAGCCTTCTCTTCTCCAGGCTGAACAGCCCCAACTTTCTCAGCCTGTCTTCATACAGGAGGTGCTCCAGTCCCCTGATCATCCTCGTGGCCCTCCTCTGGACTTGTTCCAACAGTTCCATGTCCTTTTTATGTTGAGGACACCAGAACTGCACACAATACTCCAGGTGAGGTCTCACGAGAGCAGAGTAGAGGGGCAGGATCATCTCCTTCGACCTGCTGGTCACGCTCCTTTTGATGCAGCCCAGGATGCGATTGGCTTTCTGGGCTGCAATGCTCCCACATCCAACAATGTATCAAGTTTTACCCATGAGCACTAAATGTTTGATCAGAAAACAGACACATTGTTATTAAGAAACTGTTACTAAACTACACCATAATTACATTGCTTTCTCACATGTAAAAAACCCCAAGCAAACAAAACTCCTCCTGTATGGCAAATTACTTCAAGTATATCATTAAATCCCTTTTCCCTTTACGTTCTGACCTTTGACTTCCATACTTTGTTGCTTCAAGCTGTAGTTCAGCAAGATTACTTTCAACTGCATTTTAGTAACAGCCACAGCATCACATCCTTTGCTATGATTCACAGAAAATTTTACCTATATTTATAAAGGAAATTATGCTTCAACTCACATTTAGGTTTGAGCAAAAACTTCAGTTATTTCAGTTCTAGTGTAGTAGCAAAAAACTGTATTTGAGAGCCTATTTGTGCCACAGAGAAGCAATTGCTTACACATTGATGTGTACTAAACATTCATGTTTTTCAGAAAAACTAGTCCTAAGAATCCAGACAATTAGACTGTAAACAAAAATTGTTAAAGTAAAATCATAACTTGAATAGTGTACTGTTGCAAACTATAACCTTCTTATTTTAGTTTAGAATTTCTTTATTAAATTGAAAGTGTGATTACTGAGGGCATTAGTTTTCATGCTCTTGTTTTCTATTTGCCACCTAGATAAGTATGCTATATCAACAAGTATAGTACTGCTTTAGGACCACTTATAAAAAGCCTTTATAAATTAAAACCCCTGGAAGCTTTCAGTCCACAAATTTAAGGCCAGTCTGGAAAAAAAAACCAAACTTCCAAACAAAATCTCATCCATACCATTAGTCATCTTCAAATCTCTACTTCAACATTACTGTTTGTATGGCTAAACCTTAACTAATACTGCCCAAGATAGAAAGCAACCCTCACTAAAGCATGAAACTGAATGTTTCAGTTAACACACCAAACACTAGCTACAGGGAGTGGAGAGACAGGGAAAATGTGTCACTCCATTTCAGTAAATCTTTTCAAACCACACACAAACCACAATACTTAACTTGTGCTTTTTTTCAGAGCTGAATATAGTAAGAAATACAAAGCCACAAACTGAAAGCTTCTTTCCCCCTGTTGTTTAAATACACATACACACCAGACTTAGCAATGTTTCATGTTAAAAAATTTTCAAAAATAACATTGCAAATCCCCCCTTGGATCTATACAACATATTTGTCTACAAAAGCAACCCTGAAAATTAAATTTCACTCCCAAATAACACCCTAAATTCTACCTTTATCATTCTTTTTATGCTATCAGCAGAAGTATCAGAGTTTGCCACTCTATATGAAAAGGGCAGGGCAGCTACTTGCCTCTTGCTTCATGGCCCCATCTATCAGGTATCAATCACACTGCACAGTTATATCTGGGCCACAGTTCTACACTCTAGCAATGGGCAAGATGTAAGTATCAGAGCTGGACACTGAAGAGACTTAAGTTTACGCATGAGGCTTCACAAATCAGCTCACCATTCATAATAACAGCCTGCACTCTTTTTGCCTGACCATTTTCACACCTCTAGCATAACACTCCTGCTCCTCCAAAACACCCAGTCTCCCCATGATGCGTAACTCATTCTGCAATCTCTCTCACCTCCTCTGATTGCGTTGGCAAATCCCACCACATGCCTCCCTCCTGTTTCAGCACCTGCTCATACACAACGCTTACTCTCTCTGTGCTGAAAGCAAGGTCTTTCATTCAGACTTGCACTTTTGCTGGAAATTTTGGCAAATTGACTTTCTAGTTTTACTGGGTCACAGTCCATAATCTCAGTCAACTTTCATCTCCATTTATTAATTTCTGAATTTCTAAAAGACTTTGCCAATTCCAAAACTTTTAGGAGATTTTCTTTTTGAAGAGATGCAGTTCGAAAAGAAGAAAAAAAAAACCCACAACCCACCACATTTACATAGGACTCACAATAGCAAATATGCCTTCTCCATGATTCTAACAAAGATTTCTTATGTGCTTTCCACATATTACCATGTATTTTTCTTTCCTCAACTTTCTCAATTACTTCAAATGGCAGAAAGATAGGGATTGCATTTACAGCATTTTTAACAAGTTGCAAAACAAAGAAATGAGCCTCACTTGAATCTAGCTACTGAAAGTGCTCCAGCCACTGAGCTGCTGAAAACAGATCATCTATCTCCCAGCCTTTCTAAGGAAGTATCTCAGTTCTCAAGTGAATCCTACGCTGTATTTTTGCACTTATGCCCTTATTTTTCTTATAAACCATCCTGTTAAGATAGTTTGTTGTATAGAAAAGTATTTAAACATTGTCTATAGCAGCAATTAAATCTAAAATACAGAACTGATTCTGAAAGTCAGCATGAAGCTCTCACCCCCATCTCAGTGGTCTGTACCAATCACTAGTTTGAAATACATTTTTCAGGCACTCCTCTACACAGTGAGATTATTCAGTCTTAATTCCCTGTAGTTTCCACCCCTCCTTTGTAACACTAACTCACCTTTAAAGAAAATAAAAAAAAATAACATTTTGATAGCCCATACCCAGATCCTTTAATGGTACAGCCTACTCTATTAATGGCATCATCATTTTCTGAAATGAGCCTTTTATATAGAGAGAACTAGAAAACATGGTTCTTGAAAAACTGTAAAATGTTCAAACACCAAAATGCTAAAAAGTATTTCCATATAACTACAGATATCTATTATTTTAACCACATATGTAAATGAAATAATTATAAATTCAAGAACACATGATCTGCTTACCTTTGAGAGTTCCATTCCAGGTCCACACTGTTTGCAGAGGATACAGTTTCCAGTGTGGTCCCTAAATTCTTGCTCTCTACAATCTCCAGTCTCACAGATTACTCTACTTAGCTTAAAAAGGAAAAGAAAAAGATAGTAAACTCACCAAATCATAACTACTCTGTTCTCAACATGTAATTTTTATGAACTTTATAGCAGAAAAATACATCATTTTTCTATCGTAAAAATAAGACAGTGGCCTGAATTTTAAAGGGTCTCAGTACTCAGTGATTTGTAATGATTTTACAATTTTTAGAAGACCTAACTGATATTTGACACCTGTGGAATGCTAAAACACTAAATTGTTTGAACATGAGTTTAAATTCCTCACCTTAATCAGCATTACAAAAAATGCACATGACCATTTACTAAAGCTACAATTTTCATGACAGTAAGCTACATCACATTACACTGCTGTGTTTCATTAATTTGTGATTTTTTTAATTTTTCAATGAAGTTATTACAATTGAATAAATTGCTAAAATCTAGTCCTTTAAATGTAAATATTTATAGATTTTAAAAGGTCACTCAAACCTTTTGGAAACTAAAAAAAACACCCAACCAAAACCAGAAAAACCACAAAAAACCCTGTATGAATACTATTTATTCTAAATTTTACTATCTCTGTGCATTTGATGGGCTGTTCAAAGACATTTAAGTACATTACCTGACCAAACCAGAAACTGAGGTTATGAGAAATAACATAAGCAGTAATATCAGCCATGCAAACTCTCATTATAATCACTGGAATCCGACATTAGCAAACATTAGCAAACCTTGTGAGCTCCCTCAGTAGTATTATAAATTAAATGTCTAATACAGGCTTCCATCAGTGAAAGTGCTCTCCACAATTGCTACTAAATTCTTATTCTGTGTATTTTCTGGGAGACCAAAGCCTTTCTGATAGCTGTGAAACATTAATTAACCTTAGCTCCAGAGCTTGTATCTGCAAGCCAGAGTTGAAGTATGCTTAATCGGTAATGCAGTTGTGTGCTATGCTATGTTCTGCTATTCCAGCTTTGGAATATTTCAAAGTGCTAAGCTATGTGTGTAGCATACTGTATTAAGATATGGCCACTGAATATTGGTTAAAATTCCTGCCATCTCTCTGAAGTGAAGCAGTATCACCTTCATATTGACTCATATTTTCTGTCCTAGTCCAGTTCTTCATCCATTAAGAGGTTGACAAGGTAAATTTTTTTAATTGCATGGGAGGAGCAGCAAGAAATGATATAAATCAGTTGAGCAAGCTCACTTTTAAATAGATAAAATGTGTGCATCATCTGCATATATCAGTTTAAGAATTCTATTATTAGCAGTAATGTGTAAAATAAAACACCATTCCTGCATTCTATGTAATTTTTTCAACATTCATCCTAGGGAAAAATAAGTATCAATTTTTAACTTACCAAATATGCTAGTAAAATTATGAGCATCTTCAGTTTATCTTCTCCTTGTAATCCTTTAGCATCCATTTCTTACAATCAAACTTTTCTCCCTAGAAAAAAAAAAAAAAATTATATCTCACAATGTTAAAATTGAAAAAGTCATATGATCCACAGTACTTTATGTCATTCAGTATGTCAAAATATGTAACTGTTAATGTTATTAAAATATTTCAGATGGATTACTGGAAGCTAAACAACAAATATATGCTTTAAAGATCATCTTCATTTTTAGAAGACAAGGCAATATTCACAAAGTTTCTATACCTTTAATTCTCAAAAGAAGAGACTACTATCAGTCTAGAGAATGTCAGTATTTGTAAAACCAACATCTAACATCCTTAACATATTTATCTTGCTTGTTAGACACCCAACTAAGCACATGATCAGCAGACAAAGATCAATTGATATGCCACATATCAACCAAGACATAGCTGATCATGAAGGAAGTTCCTTCTGTGCTGCAATGTGGAACAGAATGTGTTTGCCTAGTGGCAAAGATAACCTCTTCTACTTCATTCTGCAAGGAACTGGAGGCATACACAAGATCTGTTTCTACCAGTTACCTAAGGGATATTAACTTCTAAAGATGTGCTAACATGATTGTTTATGATCTGGCAGGCAAAAACTATTTTAGAAGACATTTCAAAGAGTTTAACCAAATCACATCCTACCTCAGACAATTTTTAATCATAATCTCAGAAGAAGACAACAGAACAGTTCATAAAGCCTTGCTTAGTTTTTTGTTTTTTTGTTTTTTTTTAAGAAGTGTTAACAAAAAAATGATTTTTTTTTTTTTTTAAGGAAGGAAATATTTAAAGATGGTATGGAAAGGAAGTTCTATTTTGGGATTACATTTCTTGGATTATTAAATCAATGAAATGCAATCCCACAATCATTAAAAATACTGTCTTTGGCCAACAAAATCTTTTTTCTCTGTTTAATTTCCTTTTGTTTATTTCTTTGAGTCTTTGTATTAATTTCCAGTTTCTTACTTTTTGGTTTTGTCAGTTACCTAGAAATGCAAGTGTAACTACTAGTTCAGAAATCCAAACTATAAAAAAAACAATAACAAGAATAAATAAATTCATCTTACATGACAGGGTATTTGAATTTGATCCTAATTTGCATACCTTGTATGGCAGTAATACAATGTCATTGTTTTTAGCTAGATATGAAAAATAATACTGAAAATATTTCTGGCATACTTCATAGTTAAAGGATTGATATTTAAATACAGTTTTAAAAGACAAAATATGTAATTGTTATCATGTAAGAGTATCATTTAGATGTTGTCATTTAAAGAAGAGACTAACAAGTCCAAGGATGGAACCCAGAATAGAAATAGAATAGAAAAATATTAAGAACAAACACAAAGTGCGTTACATTATGAAACTGTAACAAGCATAACATACTTCAAAATATATACAACCAGAATGAGCATGAACTATAATTAACACACAGTTTCACATTTTACTGCATGAATATCCTACTTAACAAAGTTCAGTAAGAAGAAAGTATACTTCAGTGGCACTATTGATATTTTAAAGTAAATTGTATTTGGAAGTGTAGAAAGGGCTGCTAGGAAGAACAAAACAGGCAAAGAGGTGTGTCAGGCAGCACTCTGCAGGAAAACCAAGATTACATTTTCTATGGTTATTTCTCACTTAGTGATGGTAATGGTCTATGGGCCAATGACAATTATCAGATTATATGCATGTCAACATGGGTGAAAAAGAAGACATACCATCAAGTAATACAAATACATACAGATAGAGTATTCAACATAGGTTGTTTTTTTTCAGTAGGAGGCTGGGGAAGAGGGAGTATGGGAGGAGGGAAAATGGGAAATCTCAGAAAGAATACTGGATGACCCAAATACAATGATGAAAAAATATTGTAGAACAAATGGGAGAGAAGAGTCAACAAATTAAAAAGTTATTAGGTACACAAAGCTGGCATGAGAAGATGGCAGTGCTAAAGCTGCCAAAAAAAAATAAAAATAATTAAGTATATAAGAACAAAAATGTGTAAGAACTGAACTATTTCTAGTAAGAGCAAAAAAAGAAAAAAAGTGGACAGAGACTGTAAAAATACTGTTAAGGGAACTCAGAAGTCCCAAGAAATGTTTCTCATCTATGTTTGGAAAGAAACAAGATGCGTAAAAACGCATATCAGATAATATATCTTCCGTCAGAATAGTAACTGAAGATCTGCTAAGTAAAAACAAATTACACACAAGACAAATCAGGAGACTTTGCACCTCAGTAACCTTGAAAAAAATATCAAGAAAGACTTAAGCTTGCTGCTGTTTAATTTTTATACAGTTTGGAAAGCTAGAGAAATTCAAGAATGGTAATGTTATGAGAAGATTAAAATAGAACTAAGAGTAGTAATACAATAAACAACTCTACACAATATTACAGAGAAACAGTCCTGCAAAACGAGTTTGACTCACTTGATTCAGAGAAGACAACACAATAAAGTTAAAAGTCTAAAAGCTAAATTTATATAGAATTATTAAATATCAATTCAAATGAAATGAAAGGGAGTTGAGAGAACCCCCCCCCCACTGACTTCTTGATTTCATATAATGGTATTCAGTGTAAAAATTTAAATACTTATATGCTTTCTTAATAGCTACAGGAGGCAAAATCCTACATAACTGTGACAGTGAAATAAAGTTGTAAATATAAATGCATTGCTTAGAACTGCACATCAAGTGATTATTCCAAGTCATCTGAACTTAGTCATCATATTCCTTAATAATATTATTGTTAAAGAAATAAAACATAGCACATTTCTAATGTAATTATGACCATCTATATAGTACTACCAAAATGTTAGGAATAGGATTATTTATAATGTTAAAAGTATGGCTTATTTTAAAATTTAAGATTTAATTTTGTTTCCAAAACCAGATGTGACAGATATCAAAAAAGTAATGCTCTCTTGTAATAATAATATATTTTTATGCCACGTTCCATGTAAAATTATCAATGCAAACAATATTGGCAAGCTGTATTAAGCCTAATGATCTAAAATATGGAGCTGTGGCATAATCTAAACAGTCTGTATTTTACTGAGCAGATCACCTAAAATGCTAAAAAAAATGAAGAAAATCAAGAACAGCCTGAATAACTGCCCAGCAGATTCAGTACTCTTTATTAAAAATCAATATTGAAACAAAGCTGGGTTTTTTTGTGTGTTTGTAATATTCTGGAGTTACAATTGTAAATAAGTAAAGACGTAAATAAATAAATAAATAAATAAATAAAGCCAGATCTTAACAAGAAGGTAGTACAAAATCACAAGCGTGTTCCTGGCCATGCTGACAGCTCGTATTTCAGTTTTGGAGTGGCCATATCCGTTATACAATGATCTTCTTATAGCATGTACCTCAAAGACTTTTAGAACATAGAAAGCATATGGAGACACATGCTGTGCTAAAAACACATTTTATTGACTTAGGTGTGCAAATTTTATTGCACCTGTGAAATATTTTCAATTTAAAAGAAAATCTACAGTCTTTATGAAACTCTTGCCAAATTCAACACCTTCAAACATCAGGAGTTCCAAAACCCAGAGTAAATTTCCAAAATCAAGTCTTTTAGAACTGGTGTTAAATGATCACAGACTTTTCCAAATCATCTACACATTCTACTGAGCTTCAAGTTTGTTGACTGATCATTACATGTATGATGCAATCTCATAGCTTTAGGTCTATAATATGAGGCATCTTCTAGATAATTTTTCTTTTATAATCAACAGATCTTCCAAAATATGCTTGCAGGTCTACAGGCCTTAAACTTCAGTGCACTTCAGTAGGTTTAGTAGCACCAAAACATGTGCAAATCATTTCAGTAGATGTGTATGAATGCCTGTGATATTGGACCATGCCATCATTGTGCATATTGTCCCTGTTCCTACCAAAAAAAACCCTGAAGAACGTAAAGTGGCTATAACATGTAAGGAAGAAATTATGTGGTGTACAATAAAAAATTACTGTTAAAAGCACAAAAAATTTAAATGTTTATTTTCATGACAACATTTTGATATAGTAATGCAAATGGTTAAGGCACATTCAGCATTCAGAACTCATTGTATTGAAAGCAAGTCCCGAAGGACACATAACTATACCAGTTGCTTGTTTTCTGTTTCTAGCTCCAGTTTGGTTAAAAGCCCGTCTTAAAAAGCAGACACTGCAGCACTTAATATCAGGTTGCCATTGGGCAAATTTATTCCCTCTTGATATCAAGTAGCATTACATTGATGTTTGTTGGACATGAGCATATGCATTTAAGTAGTAACTAGAAGAGTTTTTTGCCTCTAAAATACATGTAACCAAATAGAAATTCTATGCATTTGAAGATTATTTGTTCTTGCCCAGCTACTGATATTTATAGCACTGAATTTGGTTATCCTCAATTATATTAAAGAAAAGTTTGGACACGGTTTTTTGAGGTCAGTAAATCATTCCAAATGCATCTTTTCTTGGGGTTAACAGTGATATGCTTTCCTGAAATACCCAAGCACAAGCAATCATCACTGGCAATGTACTGAGCTCCAGATACAGAACTTCCATTAGGAAATGTAGCTGCATACTTTTAAGGTTGTGTGGGACCTACTATGCGTATGTGTATAGAGCGCAATTATCAAACAGTAAATTACAAAGGCATAGTAAATGTGGAAGGAGGAATTTCCTATCTTCCAGAGTCCTAGAGTCCACTGTCCTCCAAAATTCACTTCTACATTTACTTGTCACCTGAGCAATAGTCATCGTTCTATTTCAAAGTCTATCTGCCAGAAAAATATTTCTTCCTTCTCTTCAAAGAAACCAAAGTTTCACCATGAAAAATATATCACCTCAAGACTGAAAAGGACATGATTAAATTATGGCCTACCAGCAGGTTCCTCATACATGCAAGCATCAAAACTTTGAAGTCAACATCACCCACCTTCTAAGGGAAACTTCAGAAAGGCTGAAAGGTCCCAGCTTCAAATTCACTTAACTTTCCAAGATCTTACAAGTTTCCCATATTTGATTTGACAT